AATTAAAAATATAATATTCTAGCAGTTTTTATATACGCTTTTGCGGTTCCATTTGCGCAATAATTTTTGCTGTTCGGAATTGTTAACTGATTTCATATGTAATACATTAAAATATTTCAATATATTACATAAACATCATATTTAATTTTATGATAAACATTTTATGATCGTCTTGTCTTTACGCATGATATTGAATTTCGTTTCGCGATATAAAATTTAGCCATGGTTACTATATTTTAAACCCATGCAATATGCTTGCTTATCTTTTCAATATTTAACTACCGTATCTACATTGCAATTAGTTCACTTCAGATGCAAAAATTTCTAACCAATCATACAACTCAAATAATTATCTGTTAAGTTTGACATTTCAAGTTCGTCTTTTGATTTACATATTGCGAACAAAAAATACGTGTCCTGTACATTTTATATTATATCTATAACAAATATCTAACAAATCTTAAGGGAGGAAATTGTTTATAATGTGTGTGAAAAAAAATTTATATAAAGAACATTCAAACATCAAAGAATAAATGTAACAAATTTTAATTATGGCTGTTACATTATAATAAAAAAGAATAATTCCTAAAAAAATGGTTATATAAAGTTGTATTAAAAAGTAAAAATACTCCCTTAAAGAAATAAATAAATTACTATTTATATATCTGAATGAAAACAATTATATTAATATTTTTATCGTGAAACTTATATCTAAATTTCTGTTTAAAAACATATTTTAAATATTTGTTTTAATTTGGTTTGTTAACATTTAAATGCACGCAATATTATTCATAGTTCGGTCTTTTTACGTTCAAAATATATGCCTATCAACGCGGTTATAGTGAATTTCTGTTGTATAGAATTGATAAATTGCATGTATCAATTGATTTCGAACAAAAACAAACTAAAGAACAGGGTAAAAGGATAAAATCGGTGGAAGATAAAAGGCACCATTTTTGTTTCATCTTCGATGAATTATCAACTTTCTCATAATCGAGATAATGCATAAAAATTGTTGACTGGATTTTCAATTTCCCGAACAACTTTGATAGTGGTAGTTCAGTGGCTTGACTGAGGGACGAATACGCGATCGTAAAAGTAAATTACTTACCTTGCGTCGTAAATAAACCATATTGAATATCTACTTGATGAAGAGGCAGAAAAGAAGAAAGATCTCAATAAAGGACACACGATTGTAGAAGTTTGTTCACGCTGCTTCGAGTATCCGCGCAGTTCATTCTACGTGAATACTGATCGTTCCATTCTTGTTTTTACTTCTTTTACTCTTTCCTTTTCTCGCAGGATTGTCATTCAATTTCGAGTTGAAGAAACAAAGTAAACATCAAATGGATAACAATATCGTTCACGTCAAGTATTATAGTTGATTGCAATGTATATCTCATCCACAGACAATAAGAAATGTAGAAAGAATTTTGGAAAAGCAGAGAGCCCGTTTTCAGTGTCTTAAATTAAATGGAACTACTAACTCGGACGACGACGGAGGCCGAACGATTGTTGAGTATCCACGAATGGGAAAAATGAGCGTATTTATTTAGGTGAAACACTTTCGTTCGTTCGTCCGTTTGTTCGTTCACTCGCTCGCTCGCTCGCTCGTTCGTTCACTAATTACTGATTCGGTTGCCCAATCACGAATACAGCATGCTCGAATTAAGCGTCAGTTGATATTTTATTTATTAGCAAAGAATAAGGGGGAGGGAGGGAGAGAGAGAGAGAGAGAGAGAGAAAGAGAGAGAGAGAAACATGACTTCTACGAACCAGCGTACATCCCTCCTTTTCTTCCCAATCGAATCGCTTGTCAAATGATAATATAATGACGAGAGAAGGAGACGGGAAGGAGTAAACGTTGATAATTTTATGTGTATAAGAAGGAGATGTCAAAATAATGCCGGCATCGCATGATCGTTCGAGAAAGGGGAGGAAAAATTGCGTCAAGGCACATATGCTCGCTCGCGCGGACAAGGCGTTAAAAACATGTTGATAACCGCACACGTTCCCTCCGCGTCTGATAAGACAGAGAATATAGACAGAGAAGCAGCACGCGCATTATTTACAAGAACGCTCATTCGATTCTCAAAAATATACAACTGTCATAAATATTGATTGGAGGCGTGGCTCTACGTACGAACCGAAAGGTAATGTTTGATTTTTATTGCGACTCGTGGGAGATTTACAACAAAAATTATATTATAACTTCCTAATGAGAACCGGCAAGTTACAAAAGCATTATATCGAAATTTTGGATGAAAGTAAAGTTATAAAAAACATTATATATATATATATA